CCTTTTCAACCTGTCCGTTAACATCTTCCGCCTTGTTTTGCAGGTCCAAAAAAGCTTCAAATGGGCCGATCACTGGAGTAGAGGGGGACCCCGTTGACGCTTTCTCCGCACCAGCTGGGTCCTTCACCGGTAAGTCAGGTACGTCCATCCCCTCCTTGTCCGCAATCTTGTTCACAGACTTCTTGCTGTTCTTGTTGTTGCGTCCCTTCACCATTGTGCAATGATGATACCAGCTTGCCAGCCTGCCAATGGCTGAGAAACAAGCAGATCTGAGCACCACCGCTGCAGACCCCCGCGCTTTATGCCATTGATGCTTGTAAACAAAGCTCTGCAGGTCCTGATTCCGCCGAACTGGCGACCTCCCAGAGACTGTCGAGAGACCTTGGGGAAAACTTTTCCTGAGAATGACGCGTGAACAATGGTAGGATGTAAACAGATAACGATTGATTTGCCCGTAGCGCCTTGAGCTTGTATATTCGCCATATGTATTCCCTTGGTCAGGAGCCGAGTGTAGCGATGCAGTTAGCCTGGAACTCGAAAATGTGGTATTTAGGTTCCCGTATTGAACACTAAAAGGGTACCATTGTGTAGAGCTAGAGGCCACGCATCGTTTAAGATAACTCAATGTAGTTTCTGCCAGGAAATTGATACACATTGGGCGTGTAGTAGCTGTCAGCCATGGCCATGGCGGCTGTAAGGAGGATGTCATTGTAAGGAGGATCAAGTCGTGGGGATTGAAGTCGGAGAACCTTCAAGACCGAAGCCGTTCCTTGCCCGCGACTTGGGAAAACAAACAAATTTCTGCCCAGCCCGTTCTCTAGTTCCAGGGTCAGACAGCTAAATATCGCGAAGAAAATATGTTTAGAGCACGAATCGCGAAGTGTGTGCAGGCTACAAAAAAATCTGCGCAAGATTTGCGCGACGCCGATGGAGGAATGCGCGGGAAGTGCAGCGCTCAGGCGGGACGGGGAAGTGGGCCCGCGGAGCGTTCCGGCGGGCCCCAGCTGGCAGCGATGGCGAACGTTACGGGCAAAGTCGACTGACCTTGAGAGGACAAACAGAAATGTTTTCTTCGCAACCGTGGAGATATCCCACCCTCCTTGGAGAGGATTAGCTTCAAAATCTAGTCTTTACATCCCGTCGTTGTTTCGCTGTCCATTCTACTACTACTCAGTAAGAACGTCGGCTCTTCCCCATTGTCAGCAAGCGGAGTCGAGTTCACAATGACGACGGCGACAACAAGGCTTTTAGAGGAGATCGTGAGCGTAGGGACAAGATTAGCCGTTCGATTCGACGATGCAAGGAGGGAATTGGAAGCAGAAAAGCGACCAAGAAGGGAAATGACTGAGGGCTCTACGCTGACAGATAGATTGGAGAGTTTAGAGACACTTTTGAGAGAAATGAGGGAGGAAAGCAATAAGAGCATAAGCGAACTTAGGAATGAACTAGCAGGTGAGAGGGCTGCAAGGGAGGAGAAGGAAAAGGAGGTGGCTGCACTGACAGTGCGACTCTCGCAGACAGAGGAGTTGCTGGCGCATCAGAAGGACGAAACGTGCAAGATTTGGGAGGTGAGCCGAACAGTCGCTTTAAGCGAAAAAAACTCTGACGTGAATGATACTCACCGCAGTTCTACCAATTTCTCACTATGTGCTATTTCAGGCGATTTCTCGGGCTTTGTGTCAGTCAACAACTGGCATAGTTGGTCAGGATGAAACTCGGGTCTCAAACAAGGAGATAGAATCACTTGTGTCTACATTGGTAGCACAATCTGCGCAGGCAGTAAAGACGTTGGAGCAGCAAAAGGAGGAAACGAGGAAGGTTTGGGAGGTGAGAAGCTAGTGTGTCAAGGGTTTGTGTTAAACATGCGAGTTTTTGTTTGTTTGCCCGACTAAATTCCAAGGCACCGATGTTTCCAGGCCATTTATCTGACATTGACGGACCAACCATTACCGACCACTGCAGATCTGAAGATCATTAATGCTCATGCTAAAACAACAGTAATGGAGCTGGGCAGGTGCGATGGGCCGGTCCAACACTTAGGGCTTATTCACCTCCCTTACTTGACATCCCTAAAGAGCCTCCGCTTGGGTGACTGTGGCTATTCACTAGCAGCATTGAGGCACATCTACACCATGGCATCCCTAGAAGAGCTCAAACTGGAATCAGGTTGTGTTGATGATTCAGTGGCTGTGGGAATTAGCAACCTGACGGCTCTTCGCCGGCTCGAATTGGTATATACACAGGTTTCAGATGCTGGGCTGGCTCATCTGACATGCCTTGGCTCCCTCAAAGTCCTGGTCCTTGCATGGTGTAGCGACGTCTCGTCGGATGGCATGGTGCACGTGGGGAAGCTTACGAGCCTTGAAGCTCTGGATATTGGTGAATAGAGTGTGATGGACCATGGGTTAGCCCATCTTGCTCCTCTGTCAAAGCTGACGTGGCTTTCTCTGCCAAAGACCCTGACAATCCTGGGCATGGAACACCTGACAATGAAGACCTTTCCCTGCCTGAAGACGGTTGGAGTAAGGGACGAGAGGACAACAGAGATTCTTATGGAGCACTTTCCTGATTTGTGTGTTACTGTCACCACCAGCCATTCTGTGTTTTATCCTCCACGTGAATAGGTTATGTTCAACATATTCATCTTGTTACAAATGTAGCTGTCCAAGTGTTTGTACAGACAAACTTATCCTCGGTCATGTGGCTGTCTGCACCGAATCGTAGTACAGTCTTATCAACCCATTCTAAATTTAGTTGACATTGACATTCTTCCCTTTGAGTTTTCCATCTTAATTGTTTTCCCAAGGGCACTTGCCATGCCTGTTCCAGACCTCTTGGGCACACGTGCAGCACAGCATGTCGCCAAACACTGTCTTCCTCGGCCTCTCCATGCGCACACAGCACACCGTCTCCTCCCCATCCTCCCCCTCTTCTCCTCCCCCCCTCCTTTTACCAACCACAGCTCTTCCTCCTCTCTCCCTTTCGTCTCCCTCCCACCCCTTCTCCACCCCACCTGTCCCTGCACCACCCGTCTTCCTCCTTTGCCCTTCCTCTCGATCTCGTCACCCCAACGTGCCTCTGGCTGGTGACCCCACCCCTTGATGCATGTGCGTTGGCAGGGTGAGAGCAGGGCTCTGGGTGCATCTGGACTGGATGGCACCTGGATTGGTGGGCCTCCCAGGGCTGCTACATGGCACACATGCTCCTGCTGATGTCCCTGCTACAGTCCCTGCCACAGTCCCTGCTACAGCCCCTTTTCGTCCCTACTTCTCTGGACAGCTCAAAAGGTGTTGCTGAGGTGGTTGAGGTTCTTTGGCATCGTCATCTCCTGCTTCTCCATCCTCGTTGGTAGAAAAATTCTACAGTTCAAGAGCATGTGATGCCGCTGCTGCTGCCTCTGTTCGTGTCATGCAGCCTCAACACCACCACCACCAGTGCTGCTACCGCCACCACTGCCACCACACACACCGCTCACAACTTCACCAACAGCACCACCACCGCTAAAGCTGTTGCTTGATTGCAACACCCCAGCCCCTGTGTGCCCATCATCTCTTCTACGGGTTAACAAGGAGCCCATGTGCAGTAACCTGGGCAGACGCAGGGCTGCTGCTGTGAGCGAATCAAGGCCGCAATGACGGTAGTAATCTGAGCAGCATTGGAACTCACCACCCTCCAAAAGCACATGCAACTTAACATTTCCAGGGCTCCACTCTCCCCTTCCCTGCTGCCAGTGATTGCAACAATTGCGGTTGCTTTGCTGGTTGCTGATGGCAGAGGGGCTGGGCATGGAGAATTCTGCAGCGATGGGCGGAGGTGTGACAGGAGGAGGTGCGATGGGGGGAGGTGCAACAGGGGGGAGGTGCGATGGGGGGTAATGGGGAGGTACCAACGCATTGGTTCCAGAATCACTGGCACATTGGCTGGTGGGTCGGCATGAAGGCATTTGACTGCTATGGCTTCAGAGTTTGCCGCTTTCAGCATCAGGTGATCAATCAGGTGTATTATCAGGTGCTTTGACAGGTCTTGTGTCAGGTGCTTGATCAAGAGTCGCACATCTAATGTCCCTCCCTCTTCATCTGCCAATCCTCTCTCCCAAGCTCGCACGCCCCTTCTCCCCTCCTAGGCTTCCACGCCTCCCATTTTCTCACTCACACGTTGCTCCTCCTCATCCGCCTCCTTGCCCCTTTCCCCCAAGTGGCTGAAAGTGACTCAGCGGAGGTGTGCTTAAAGCGAAGGGCGCGAAGCTGGAGGTGGGAGGAACCGCGTCGGATCGCCGGGGCTGGGGCGACGGCGGTGCTGCTTCCCTGCGGAGGAGGGGCGATGTGAGAACGACCTACGAAGACGCTGCCTACTAGAATGACTAGAATCTTGAGTGTGACCTATTTTCAAAATGGTGATGACGATCGTTGCGAACTGTCACGACAATTGCTTCCAGAAGTGGGGGGAAGATAGTTTGCGAATATATTTACGATAATGGCGAGGCTGTCATCTACAATCTGTAACGTTTCGCCTCATGCGATGGTCGGGTAGGGTGAAAGAAATAAGGGGTTTACCGAACCGAGTGGTACCTGGCTGAAACGCACCAAACAAAGAAATTCCGACTAGAGCAAGATCTTCTCCAAACCCACACCAACCAGCCACGGTATCGTCTAGTGCGTCGGTCCTGAACGGTAGCAAACGATAACCGGAAATTCTACCTTCGAATTCCCGCCGCAGAACCAACCCGCAGTCCATACTCGTGAGCGTCAAAACCTAGTTTCAGAATCTCTGGGTACCTGGAGAGTTACTTGTTCGTATAGTCACCAAGCCGAGTCTGGTTCGCAATGACGACGGCGACCGCAAGGCTTTTGGAGGAGATTGTGAGCGTGGGGACGAGATTAGCGGTTCGGTTCGATGATGCCAGGAGGGAGTTGGAAGCGGAACAGCGGCAGAGAAGAGAATACTCTGACAGCCCGATTTTAGCTGATAAGTTTGAGATACTGGAGAAACTTCTGAGAGATATGAGGGCGGAGAATATTAAGAGCATTACTGAACTGAAGAACGAGCTAGCAGCTGAGAGGGAGGAGAGTCACAAGAGCATAACCGAACTGAAGGGCGAGCTAGCAGCTGAGAGAGAGGAGAGTCATAAAAGCATAACCGAACTGAAGAAGGAGCTCGCAGCTGAGAGGGAGGAGAATATTAAAAGCATAACCGAACTGAAGTATGACCTAGCAGCTGAGAGAGCTGCAAGGGAGGAGAAGGCAAAGGAGGTTGCTGCACTGACAGAGCGACTTTCGCAGGCAGAGGAAATACTGTCGCAGCAGAAGGAAGAAACGTGCAAGATTCTGGAGGTGAGCGAATAAAGTTTCTTGAAGAATGTAGCCGAAACGCATGTAAATGAATGAGTGCCTAATTTCTTCAGCTCTTGCTGTGTCGACTTTGGGCAATTCCTCAGATTTCGTGTCAGTCAACAGCCAATATAGATGCTCTGGATGAAACACGGGTTTTAAGGAAGCAGATGGAAAATCTTGTGACTGCATTGACAACACAGTCGGCGCAGGCAGAGAAAACGCGGGTGCGGCAAATGGAGGAGACGAGGAAGGTCTGGGAGGTGAGAGGGCTTTCGTTTGAATTGTGTGCAATTTAGTCCGTCTTCCATTGCTAATATCTAATACATTGCGATGCTTTCAGGCTATTTATGTCACTTCGGAGCAGCGAACGACCAAATCTGATGCAAGGATCATTCTTGCTCATAAAAACACAACAAAGTTGAAAGTGGACAAGACAGATGAGCCACTAACTGACTGTGGACTTCTTCACCTCCCTTTCTTGACATCCCTAAAGTGCCTCGAGATCTCCCATTGTGTCCCCAATGCGGCCTTGAGGCATCTCTACACCATGACATGGCCGGAGGAGCTGAAACTTGAATCAGGCTGTTTTGACGATTCAGAGTTTTCTGGCATCAGCAACCTGGCGGCACTCCATCGGCTTGAACTGATAAATACAGGGGTTTCAGAGAATGGGCTGGCCCATCTGACATGTCTTGGCTCCCTGAAAGTCCTTATTCTTTCACGTGGTAATTTCGTCTCAACGGGTGGCATGGTGCATGTGGGGAAGCTGACATGGCTGGAGGAGCTGAAACTTGACGGTTTCAATAATTCTGTGGTTTGGGGAATCACCAACCTAAGGGGTCTTCGTCGGCTTGAATTGATACATTCAGGTGTTTCGAATGATGGGCTGGCTCATTTGACATGCCTTGGCTCCCTCAAAGTCCTCGTTCTTGCACCAGGCAATAACATCTCGTCGGCTGGAATGACGCACGTGGGCGAGCTGACTACCCTTGAAGCTCTGGATATTAGCGCGTCGCATTCCATGAACGAGGGTTTAGCCGATCTCGCACCTCTGTCAAAGCTGACATGGCTTGCTCTACCAGAGCACATGACTTACGAGGGCATGAGGCACCTGTTATGTCTCAAATCCCTCAAAACCGTTTGGTTGAGGACTTCACTTTATAGTTCCCCCCAGCATATCATTGGGCACTTGAAGACCCTTCCTTGCCTTGAGACGATTGGGGTAAGAGACAGTCAGACAGAAAATTTGGTTATGGGGTGCCTTCCTCCTAATGTGAATGTTACTGTCATCACCAGCCAGTCCGAGTTTTATCCTGCCTAGCGATAGGTACCAGGTGCGTACCGTACAATGAAATTCTCAGCTCTGTTTAACTTGCTTGCTCTTTTCTTCCAGACTCCAGTCATATACTGTTATCTCTAAACATATACAAGAATGCCCATCCTCAATTTTGTGTTTTCTGCCTTAACTTCACCCTAAACATATATTCTCCTTGAGATATGGAACGCGTGATATTGTAACAGTGAACAGTTGACCAAACTAGATCGACTTCAACTCGAGGATGTGCACTCGTTTCAGAACCATTGCATTGCAGCACATCCTTGACTTTTCCGGTTGCACAGAGTCATGCCTGTCCATGACCTCTTGGTCACTGTGCAGCACCGCATGTGGCCACATGCCCTCCTCGGCCTCTTTATGCACATACAGCACACCGTCTCCCCATCCCATCCCTCCTCCCCTCCACTCCTTTCACCAACCGCTGCTGCTCCTCTCTCTCCACTGCACCCTCCCACCCATTCTCCCCCCCTCCCGTCCCTGCATATCTCCCCTTCCTCCTCTCTTCTTTCACTCAGTTGCTCCAACCTCCCAAGCATGGGTGTGGGTGAGAGCAGGGCTCTGGGAGCGTCTGCATGACACCTGGATTGGCGGGCCTCCCAGCACTACTACCAGTGACACTCCTGCTCGTGCCACTGTTCCTGCTACAGTCCCTGCCTGCTACAGTAACTGTCCCAATACAGAGCGTGCTACAGTGCCCGCTACCGTGCGTGTTCATCCTACGCCCTGGTCGAGTCTGCAACTGCTCTTACAGCTGCTGCTGCTGCTGCTAGGTCAGAATAAACTTCTGCTGCGTTGTTCTCCTCTCCGTCTCCTGTGCCATCCTTGTTATAAGGCGACATCCCGGTCGTCATCCTGGTGTTGACTCGCTAAAAGTCAACAACATGCACTGCAGCCGAAACAGCAGGAGCCACTGCCGCTGTTGCTGCCTCTGCTAGTGCATCCTCAACACCACCTCCTCTCGGCTGCTGCTGCTGCTGCTGCCTGAAGCCCCGCCAATGCCAGCACTGCCACCAATGCCGCAACCACCCCCATAACCACAAGTCACACCAATTACACCCTCACCACCAGCAACGCCACTACTACCCACAGCACTACCACTGCTCAAGCTGTTACTTGGGTGCACCGTCCCAGCCCCAATGTAACCGCCTCAATGGGAAGCCCTTGCAAACTCATGTGTGTGGGCACCGGCATGGCTGGTGTGGGCAAACACAAGCTGCAGTGGGTCAAATTGGGTGTAAGGCCTGCCGTGAGTTACGCGTAATGTAGCATCTGTGATGTGACGTATCAGTGGATGGTGCCAGTGGTAACATAGTAACATGATAACAATGTTGTTGAGGCGCAAACGCCTGCTGCTGCTCCTTCTAAGATTGCAGCTGCTGCGACGATCGGCGCTGCTTGAAATATTGCTGTTATTTCGACGAGTGCCGCTGCTTACCTGCCACTACAGCTTTGCCATGACACATAGACAGTACCCGCGGCGATGGTGGGAGGTGCAATGGGGTAGGTGTGATAGGGGGAAGTGCGGTAGGGGGAGGTGCGGTAGGCGGAGGTACGGTAAGGGGAGGTGCGGTAGGGGGAGGTGCAGTAGGGTAGGTGCGGTAGGGGGAGGTGCGGTAGGGGATGGGGAAAGTTCCAGGACTGGTCGGTTCCAGCATTAGGTTACCAATCAGGTTATCAGGTGCTTTCACCTGGCTAAGTCAAGTGTCGACTCATAGTTTATTTTACACCCCTCCCTCTCCATCTGCCAATCCCCTCTCCCAAGCTCGCACGCCCCTTCCCCCCTCCTCTGCTTCCACACTCCCCCTTCTTACTCACACCTTCCGCCTCTTCCTCCTCATCCGCCTCCTTCCTCCTTCTCCCCCTCCGTGCCAAAAAGTAATTCAACGGAGGTGTGACTGAAGAGAAGGGCGCGAAGCTGGAGGTGGGAAGCACCAGCATGATATCGCCGAGGCTGGGGCGACGGCGGTGCTGCTTCCCTGTGGAGCGACGTGAGGCTGTGCGCGGGCGAATGGTCCAACACGGTCCTCGGTATTACCGAGACGACTTTGAATCGACTCATCAGACCCCCGCGAGGGGTATGAGGCTGGGGGAGGCTGTGAGGAGGGGAAAGGTCCAACGCGGCCCTTAGTATTGCCGACGACTGTTTAGTCGACTCAGCAACCGTCTCCTGAGGATCGGAATGAGGCTGGGGGAGGCTGTGTGCCTGCGAATGTCCAACACGGCCCTCGGTATTGCCGACGAGCGCGTCGATTCTGATTCTTATTTTGATTTTGATGCTGTTGGGTGAAGACCGTTTGCTGATGTAACAGCAGTGGGGTAGTGCTGCCGCTGTGACGCAGCTGACCCGATTGATACTGCTTCGTTCGATTCGGTCCTTGATGAGATCGCTGCCGTCAAATCGGCAAGACGCGAACCTTTCGTTGCTGGAAGTCGCGTTCCTGGCCTATCGCTTTGCTAGCGCTGATTCGCCTGCTGATGCGGTTCATTTTTCTACGGATAAGGCGGCCCTAGCTGTATGAGGTTCCCTGCTCGCAGATTCAGTTACAGCCAGCTCAGATCCGTGTGAAAAAACAGCAAGCTTCTTCCCCATCGTGCTCTTACACCTCTCGCTTTTCCAGTGCCTAATCTAGTGAACGCATAATCTAAGAACAAGCAACCGGCTTCCACGCTGAACCAAGCAACAGCCAGGGTGAATGTTCCTTTGTCAAGAGGGGCCAGTCCGCAGTCACGCACAGGAGACAGAACCAGTTCAGTTCCTTCGGGTAACCAACGCACTGTCTCGACATTTCTGCGACGGCTTTTCGACTCTGGTGGTAACACGTCCTCGCAAAACGCCATCATCATGGATTCAATAGCATGATCTACGAAAGAGAGCGAACTTGAACGCACTGATGTGGACGAAGAGCGTCGGGGGCTCAAATGTACAGGCCTTGATTCCTTGGTCAAGTTGATGTGTTGTGGAATCACCACGGATTCTCTCGGTTCGCTGCATTTCAACGCGGCCGAGAGCGATAAGTGCCCAATTTTGAGAGGAACCCACCGAGACATCCCGAGGGAACTCCCTGGATTACGGCCCTTATAGGCCGAAAGTGCTCGGCTTGTTCCTCTGGTCACCAAGTTGGTTCGAGTTCAAATGGCGACGGCGACTGCAAGGCTTTTAGAGGAGATCGTGAGCGTAGGGACAAGATTAGCCGTTCGATTCGACGATGCTAGGAGGGAGTTGGAAGCGGAAAAGCGACCGAGAAGAGAAATCACGGAGGGCTCTGCGCTGACTGATAGATTTGTAACATCCGTACCCAACCCCAGCTGGTCTCGATACGTCGAACCAGCTGAGGGAGAAATGTGGGGAAATCTGGTTGGTTGGGAAAGCGAGACTTACGGGCAATTCAGGATTGATTGGGAAACCAACCAATCGAAATTGTTGCTGAGTCAAACTTACGCAATTGGTTTGAGCTTGTTCAAACATAACCCACGTAAGTTCACCTCATCACTAATTCAACCAATCAGATCACAGCCCCAAGAGTGAGTCGACAATGTTTCCGCCGCTCACTTCAAACACAACCAATGAGAAACAAATACAGGTTTGTGATTGCTATGCAATTCTTATCCTTGCTATCTAAAATGTAATTGGTTGAAAATCTTGTTTGTTGCCACATGGGCAAGACCCAAGGGAGTGCACCCCTCCTTGCCATGGGGAAGGTGGCTGCACCCCAAGGGGGTCTAGGGAAGGGGTCTGAAGCCTCTTGGCTCATTCCTCATTTCCTACTCCCAACAAATCAATTGGGAAATAGGATTGTCTTCTCCTCAACTCACCTTCCACAGTTTGTTACTGCATCTCCTAGCACTCTCCAGACTTAGTGATTTCCAGGAGCTGTTACTCTCTGTTTGTGTTAGAACTTATCTTTATATGGATAAATGCCCTTTTTTTTAGTAGATCCGTTACAGATTGGAGAGTCTAGAGACACATTTGAGAGAAGTAAGGGAGGAAAGCAAAAAGAGCATAAGCGAACTTAGGAATGAACTAGCAGGTGAGAGGGCTGCAAGGGAGGAGAAGGAAAAGGAGGTGGCCGCACTGGCAGCGCGAATCTCGCAGGCAGAGGAGTTGCTGTCGCGTCAGAAGGACGAAACGTGCAAGATTTGGGAGGTGAGCGAAAACGAGTATTTTCTCGTGTTACCTATACGCGAATACACGATGTTTACTCATCCCAGTTTTAGCGTTTTCTCACGATGTGCCAATTTCAGGCGATTTCTCAGCCCCATCAGTCCACAACTGGTGCAGTTGCTCTGAATGAAACTCTGATTTCAAACGAAGATAGGGGATCACTTGTGTCTACATTGGTAGCACAGTCAGCGCAGGTAGTTCAAGCGTTGGAACAGCAAAAGGAGCAAACGAAGAAGGTATGGAAGGTGAGTAGTCATCTCGTCAGGGGTTTGTGTTGAACATACGCATCTTCTCTGTTTGCCGGGCTAACCTCTTAGGTGCTGATATTTTCAGGCTATTTATGTGACTTCGAAACAGCGTCCGTACAATGGGCTGACGTGTGCTGATGTGAAGATAATTGATGCTCATCCTAACACAACGGTAATGGAACTGAGCTACAACGATGGGCCAGTCAGTGATGTTGGACTTCTTCACCTTCCTTACTTGACGTCCCTAAAGAGCCTCAAAATTCCTTATTGTGTCAGTGCAACGGCCTTGAGCCACCTGTACACCATGACATGGCTGGAGGAGCTGAAACTCGAGTCAAGTGGTTTCCATGACAAAAGAATTCAGGGAATCGGCAATCTGACGGCTCTCCGCCGACTTGAATTCATCAAGACGCATGTTACGGATGCTGGGATTTCCAATTTGACGTGCCTTGAGTCCCTTTCAGTTCTTGTCCTTTCTTGTGACCAGAATAACCCACACCATGCCAACATAAATTTTACATCAGCTGGCATGGTGCACGTGGGGAAGCTGACGAGTCTTGAAGCACTGGATATTG